GCTCTGTATTCAATTACGGCTCTACTTCAGCAATAACTGCAAGTTATGCAAAAGATTACACTGGCGGAGGTGCACGTGAAGTGCACTTATGGTGGGAAATTACCAGTCACAGACACCACATGATGATTAAATTAAGTCTTGGAGACACGATTTCCATTCGTGGGACTAAGCACAGTGTTTCTCGCTGTATTTTTATCAGCAGAAAACAATGTTAATATAGGCTGCTTGAAAGTGATAATTGTGTGTGATCTGGTTTCAGAAAGGACATGAGTACCTCCAAGAATCGTCTCCTGTACGCATTTACTGTCATTTTGTTGACGGAAACAGCTACTTCATCTACGCTTGTCGAATCGGTTTTGTCCACAAGAGAAGGAGTTCTTCTCAAAGGCCATCCTATTCAACGGCAGCGGACTTCAAGCTTCTTGTCGTGCGCACACATTTGCTTAAGGAAAGAGGAATGCCATTCTATTAATTACAAAGCTTCATCCGAGACGGAGGGCGTTTGCGAACTTTTAAAAGACACCGGTAGACATCTTAATAACAGTTTCGTGAAGGGGCCAGGATGGTTACACGCACAGATCGTTCATTCCGGAGTGAGTGCTCGTACAGGCAGCAATATACCAAGTGAGACTACTGCAGATTGTTTACTAATAAAGTGTTGCCCCCTCAATCGCTTGTGGAAAACGGCTTTGGTAATCATAGCCTAGTTTCCGCTAAAGCTGACGTTTCGAGCGCTAGCTCTTCATAAGAGAGTTGATCACTTGTTTGGTTTCAATTCTGACCAAAAAGTTGCCTAAGTTTTTCGCAAGTTTTATTTAGATTAATGGAGGTTGTGAAAAGGTTAAGCCAGTTTCGTGGTCATTTTTTACCAACTTAACGTGATAAGAAAGACGGGTTTTCCTGCGAAATTTTGAAGGTGAAATGTGAGGGTGAATGGAATTCGATCGTTCTTTACCTTCTGTGATGTTTGTAGTGCTGATTAAGTGGTCAATTTTTAGGAATGTGCTTCATTACAAAACCTTTTACCCAACGAAAACAAGTGCCGTTCTGAAAGAGAGAATTGATCTCTTATGATATGCCATAGGATCCTCTGATCCACACGCGTTTGTTTCAGAATTACAGTTAAGCATGGAAGCGTTTACTTTTAAATATTCTCAGATTTCAAATTCATCTTCACAACTCTTGGTGCGGTGGGTTCTATCGGGCCGACAAACTTATCTGGGTATAATGGAACAACATTACAAGGGAAGGTGAGAATTGAAAACGGCATCCAATTATGGATTGTACCGTTAAGTGGATCTTACGTCATAGAGGCCTGGGGAGCATCTGGAGCTGACGGCCGCGAATCAGCTGACGTGTCAGCAGCCACAAGAGCAGGAGGGAAAGGCGCTTATGTAAAAGGAACTTTCAATCTCACTCTTGGAAAAGAACTCAAAATTCTTGTTGGACAAACTGGTAGCAGAGGAAAATTTGGTAGACCGTTACCGGGAGGGGGAGGAGGGGGAACATTTATCACTTCTTCAGCAGACGCTCCCTTGATTATTGCTGGTGGAGGGGGAGGGGGTGTTGCGCAGCCAGGAAATTTCCATAAAGGAGATCCAGGCCAGACCTCACAAAATGGATCACGGGCCGGGGGTTCAAACGGATCTGGCGGAAACCTATACGAGCAGGGCTCGCCGT